AGATTTTTTTCCTTCTTTAGATGAAAAAAGATTTGAATATGAGACAATCATTAACATTTTCAAGTATTCAATTTAACAACTACCTGAATTTTTCACAGACAAAGCCATACAAACACTTTTCAAAGGTTTTGTTGTCATACATTTTTCTGTTATTGACATATGTTTGTTTAATTCTGTAGTATATACAACTACAAAATAACTGACATTACAGAAAATGAAATTGTTGTGTTAAGAAATATTGACTTGTCAGAATTTTTACCTCAAGTTTATCTAAAACGAACAATTCTACGACTGTTCAAGTTTTTCTTTTTCAAAGCTTTCTTTGGTTTTTGGGGTAGACATATAAAGATGACAAAAAATGTTAGGCAAGTAAAAGTATGCAATAAATGCTATGCAAAGGGTAATTTAAAGTGCTGAAATGATAAAGAACAAATTGCAAAGATAACAGCACTGTGAAATAATGGACAAGAAACTGCATGGGAAAGAAAACRTAAATTAGCAAGAGGTAGGAATTCGAAGGGAATGCAAAATTGATCCTGCCTATCATGCTGTTGAGGTACGTCTCTCCTGATGCTTCTAACCACTTCCYATAATCCAATAAATACCAGCAATTTTATGTTTTCACAGACCACCTGAATTATTTTGTCACATTGCATGAACCCTAGGGTGAACCATCATGTACCATAGCATGAACCTGGGTACCGCAGGTCTAACTTTATCATTAACCTGGGTAACTTATCGTTATTCTGGGTACTTTATCATTAGCCTGGGTACTTATTGAAAAAATATATATATAGACATGCTACACTGGGTAAACCAAACACCCTCAAGTGGTCAAAAATTATGACATCATGCACATGACCCATGGTAAAATACATTGAAGATGTACAGGGATTGAACTGAAGTCAATCAAAACTGGACGCATTAATAGTACATTCGCCTCTAACCAAATAACACTCTYAAGTGGTCAACAATGATGTCACAAATCAAGTGACCCGTGGGTATGCCTTGTAGATTCATGGGAATTGAAGCAATGTCAACCAAACTTGGACATAAATATYATATACTTAAAGCCTAACCAAACACCCTCAAGTGGTCAACAATAATCAGATGTCATCAATCAAGTGGCCCATGGGAAAATGCGTGGTAGATGCAATGAGGGATTGAGCCRATGTCAACCAAACCTGGATACCTATATATACTACACTAGCCTAACCCAACACACTCAAGTGGTCAACAATGATGACGTCATCGATCAAGTAACCTGTGCCTTGTAGATGCACAGAGGGATTGAACCATAAYGAGCTGGAGAGCCCTGACCAATTTGTCAATGCAGGAAATGTTTTCAGTGTGCTTAAAATTTTTGTGGTAACCGAGGCGTTAGAGCGTTTAGACTAAGATATCTGTGGACAGATGCTTATCTTGATACYGAGAGTTACATGCTATCTGATAAATCTTGTAGTCCAAATAGTTAATTGATTACAATTATTATTGACTACGATTATAGAAATTTTTCACTACAAAAATATCAATAACATTTTCTCAAAAGATATACTCTCAAAAACTATATGCTGGTTAGAGAAAGTGAATGACAATTTCTTTTATATCAGTGAGTTGAGTTGGCATGGCCCCCTCCCCCCCGAGAAATTTTGAAATTCAGACTCTCGGAAATGTGATTTACAGCCTTTTGAGGGCCTTTTGGTAACCTTACATAAGCAGTTTTAAGCGGAACTTAGTATATGCAATCTTTTATTCTGAAACACTGTGATTGTCAACCTTGGATGATGATCATTCGTTCCTAAAAATGTTGAATATCAAGGTAGAACGACATTCTGGGAAAAATCRGAAGCCCTTAGAAATTCAAAAATGACTTTTTGATAATTTTCAAACCTTTGATGTTTTGATGAATTCGTTGTAATATGATATGGAAAACAAGGAAACCTAACGGAAATAAATGAAACAAACTAGCTCTCTCAGAATTGTCATTGGTCAGAAATTTTGCTAACTTTAGCTTTTTTAAAAGCTGAAGTTAGCAAAATTTCTGACCAATAAAATATTATTATATTATTATGTATTTTTGAATGCAATGGCAATTTTTCTGTGTCCACTGGCATCCCAGCGCTGTAAAATCTCAAGTGGCTATACGAGAATGTAATCATGTACATAGGCTAATGAAAGGCCATTCAGCCGATTAAAGCCCATAGAGGACCGGCACCATGTCTTCAACCGACGTAAAGAGCTAAAACTATGTTCACACGAGCAGCYTCCGACAGGTAGCTAGAGTGAGCACAACTTGGAGAACAGTAGAGATGTTTGGATAAGAATGCTGTCGGAAAATGTGAAATACTCTGTAAGTGAGGTGATGCAATTGTAATTGTTCTTTTTAGTTTCTTTCCATCCAAGTACCTAAAAAGATTCAAAAGCAAACATAAATTGTTAAATGAAAACTATAAAACTGCTACAATTAACGGCAAATTGAGTTAATATTACGTGATACAGGTATTACCTCCTGCTCAAATGACTGCGAAAGGGGGAGGTCTTTAAGTGAACGCAGATTTAATTTTACCCTCTTTTGACCGAGTCAGTTGGCCTAGATTGGCAGGTATTAGGAGAGCACCCAGTAAAGCACCCTGGAGATCTTTTGGAAATCGCTCTTCCATGAGCCTGATAACATGGTCCAGAAAAGGGTAGTAGTAATTCAGCCTTGAAATTGGAAATAACAAGCAAATAAATGAGAACMAATAAAAGATATTTTAAGATAAGTTTAAGCGAATACTGTAATCGTAACAACAAAAAGGTAATCATTACCTGGAAAATTTGTCAATTTATTCGGCACATGCATTGGCTTGATGGACCTGTCTGCCGGTGGTTCTCGGTTTTGAAGGCAACACATCGATTGTTTGAGCTACTGTGGTGGCACTTTCGAACAGTACCTTGAACTTTTCCTCACTCTGCCTTAAACCGTTTAGAATAATAGACACAAGGCTTCTTGCTTCCCGGTGGGCTTTAATCAAGTCGCACGGTTTTGACTGGAGTAGAACTGAAAGAGTTCSTGTATATCCTAGGATATATTGGGTAAGAACAGCTGAAACGATAAAGTGGAACTATTTCATGGCATGTAAATAACTGGACGCGTCATCAGGGATGCCTTCCCTGTTGACTGTGCATCATGGCTTCAGATACGGTATCATATATCCTGGAGTAATTCACCAGAAGCGTACTGATGGAATCAAACCGTGATAGCCAGCGTGTGTCGCTCAAAGTTGGTAAGCATTTGCAGTATAATTGCATTCATAAGCATTTCTTCTTCACGCTCTTCTGTCGGACAGTCAGCCAGGAGATCCTCAGTATCGGAAGGAGCAGCCATTTTCTCCTTAAGCATATCCTTTCTCTTGGCAGAGTAAGAAAAAACAGTGTTAGTTGYTGAGATGTTGTCATAAAGTTGCTGATYTCACGCACATTATTGCAGCTTGCAACAATGACTAGGTTTAGGCAGTGGCTTGAGCAATGGGTAAACGAAGTACCTTGCTTTTGGAAATCGGGCAGTAATATTAATCCTTGCCTGGAAGTCAGAGTCCTGAATTAACCCCACTCATATTCCATGCCCCATCAAGCAGGAGATCAGATATCATCAGTTCTGGGTAGAGGTACAAACCCAAGGAAGACTTCATGGACTTCAACCTTGTTGATTGCAGATGACATGTCGAGGTATCGTACACAGACAGATAGTTGCTCTTAATTGTCAAGACGTCAGTTGTTTCATCCGCCTGATGATGCTGCAGGAACTTACTCTTGTTGATTTTTGAAACAAGGGTACTGCGAATGACCTTACCAAGACAATCTATCATTTCATTTTGCACTTGTGGTAATAAATAGCGCATGTTTTTCGCAGCAGAGGATAAGTGAACAGACAGATTGTTATCGTATTTCGCCAGCCAATGTATGAAATATTCAAAATTACCAATATCTTTCTTAACTGATTTGTCTCACCTTCCTCTAAATGCAATACCTCTTTTGGCTAGAAGAATCACCAMGTCAAGAATAGAACAGAGGGCATCCCTGTTTTTCTGAAGGTTTTCTGAATAACTACCATTTAGGAATTCTTTAATGGAATCCTTTTCTCTTCTAGTGACAACTAGGATAAAGTTTTCAGCGGCCACCAYTGAATTCCTGTGACACTTAGTCAGCTCATGGTTTGTCAAGAATACCTCTTTTGCACCTATCGCATTTTTCYGGACCTTAAAAGGAGCAGAAATAAGCTGCATGGTTACTTGAAGTAGAAGATTTTGCAAAGGAAAAACAGCATGAACAGTATGCTCCATCTTCTGATTTGGAATAACGCAACCAAGGAAATTTGACCTCCCATTCAGGATTATACTTCCTCTTTTGGGGATTCACAGGGTCAACATGACTTCCATTAGGAATGTCTACGATCGGCTATGCAGCATGATCCTGCAAGAAGAATAGGAATATRGTGAAGGACTCTATAGCTGTTAGGAAGTAGGAGACTTCGCATCATAATTCTGATGAAAATTTTCWACCACTGACTACATACCATTCTTCTTGACCAGGATGTTCCTACTTTTAAGATCTCTGTGTGCAATGGCGGGCTTTCCCAAAATGCCAGTGATTTCCATGTGTAGATGAGCCAGGCCACATGCTGTTGACAGGGCCAGGGTCAGCATACTTTGTACATCTAACGTTGCACCTTGTAGGTAGTAGTCGTAYAGGGATCCATTACTATGATAATCTGTGATGAGCCAAAGTTGTGTCCATGCAGGGAGTCCACCGGCATCGGCAAAATCTCTTTAATGTCTGCATCACTGCGTTTATTTCTATCAMGTGTTCCAAGGTCATGAACATCTGTATTCACATAAGAAACATGATAATAAGTTAAATTTATATAGCATTTACAGCAACTGTTCTAGGCGCTTTACAAAATCAAGATAAAATAAGACATATACAATTACAGTAAAAAAGAGTTGAGGTGCTTATGTTCTCAAAAATGTTTATTTTACRAACCTATCTAAAGGTTTCGCAACTCTCCCCTATCTTAAAGGTACCACTGAGAGGATATGTAGAATATTATCACGCCATGACATCAGGTGTTGCATCAAGCCAGAGGTAACTCTGAAACAAATCCTCTCACACCCGAAAGATCAGGTATCATTGGATAAACATGTTGGAGTTKTATACTCTATTCCCTGTGGGGAATGTGACATCAAGTATATTGGCGAAATCAGCAGATCTTAAATAGGTACAAGAAAGAAAGAACATCTGTTTTGGTGATAAAAGACTCTTTATTTCTCTTCAGTATTGTTTTTCTACGAACAACAAAACGTTCCCAAAAAACCACGTTTTTTTCCTTCCCCACTAAGCCCTCTGGGGCTAAACACAGGGAACCCATTTCTCCGGAACATCC